GGTTGGGCAATCCTACTTCCGTAGTGATACTGCCTCGGAAACTCAAGGAGGGGTCGCTATGAGTCGGGGCTGACTCGATGGCATATAACAACAACAACAACAATATATATTACCATATGAGAAAGAGGCTTCATATGCGCTCGGTAGTTAACTGAGGAATCTTGGAAAACCAAGCTCTGATCTAAAACAAATACTAAGTTTTCCTAAAGGGTCAAATGGTTTCAAGTCAGAAATAGCATCATTTAGGACCCTCATATGACTTGAAGTACTTACTGTTGAAGATTGAAGACTATAGTATGGATTACACCTCAATATAAAGAAAACAAAAGTCCCCCCAGCTGGACCAATAAGCTGCATCACAATAAATGGAGAAAAGATTGAAGTTGTCGAAGTTGTCATATTACTTGGTTCTGCAGTCAACACCAGTGGAAGCAATAGTCAAGATATCAGACAACAAATTGCTCTGGGAAAACCTGCTGCCAAAGTCTTCTTTAAAGTGATGAAGAGCAAAGATGTCTCTTTGAAGTCTAAGGTGCGCCTAACCCAAGCCGTGGTATTTTCAGTTGCCTCATATGCATGTGAGAGCTGGACATTGAACAAGGAAGACGGAAGACGAGTTGATACTTTGAGTTGTGGTGTTGGCGAAGCTTGCTGAAAATACTATGGACTGGTAACAGAACTAACACATCTGTCCTGGAAGAAGTGCACCCAGCGTGTTCCTTAGAAGCAGGAATGGCCAGACTTCTCACCTACTTTGGCCATGTTGTCAGAAGAGACCATTCCCTGGAGAAGGATATCATGCTTGGTAAAGTGGAGGGTCAATGAAAACGGGGAAGGCCCTCATGGATTGACACGGTGGCTGCAGTGATGCGCTCAGGTATAACAGGGATCGTGAGGCTGGCACAGGACCAGGCAGTGTTTTGTTCTGTTGTATATAGGCTTGCTTTGAGTCAGAGACAACTCAACGGCACCTAACAACAACAACAGCATGCTCACTGTTGTCTTTATTGAATGGCCAGTGCTCTTGGTCTAGAGTCCCTAGGTGGTGCAAAGTGTTAATGTGCTCGGCTGCTACCCCAAAGTTTGGAAGCTCAGGTCTACTTGGAGGTATCTCAGAACAAAGGCCTAGTGACCTCCTTCCAGAAAGCAGCCCTACGCAGCCCAGTTCTGTTTGCCGCATATGAGGTTGTCATGAATCAGAGTCGACTCTACAGCAACTGGTTGGCTCTTGGTCCATTTTGAAATATTTTGCACTTACCCATTTACTGTAAGCAGAAGGGATATAAGTGAAGAGACACACAGAAGGGAAGGTTTGAGAGGGATCTGGGCACAAGACTTCCCTTCCTTCCTGTATCCTCATTTTGAATATAGTTGCCTTTCAATAAATGATTAACCCTGAACATTGTGTACAGTAAAGATAAGAAGATGCCTTCAATGGGCTGGTTTTTTAAAATGAGGTAAATAACACAATAATCTGTATCACACAGTCTTGACAGTCTTTTTTTTTTTTCTCCCCTAAATGGAACACCTATGGAGAAGCAGGCATTCAGGGAAGTGCTGGGTTGTAATGTGGTGTTGTTCCCATTTCCTCTGATGCTTGGGTGTTTTTTTCTTCAGTTCCTAGTTTTGATATGAAATGGAGACTTGGGGATATAACCTGGGACTCTTAGAGGGAAGTATCTCCTCTTTGGGTTTCAGAAATCCAAAAGAGTTTCTGAAAGAATTTAGGTTTATAGATTAATGGGACCAGTTACAAATGTGTTGATTGCTTTTATTTTCTAATATCTCACAATTCCTTCCCTCCTATTTAGTTCTCACAATACCTTCATGAAAATGCATCCTATGTTCGCCCTCTGGAGGAAGGAATGCTTCATTTATTTGAAAGTATTACTGAGGATACTGTGACTGTCCTGGTAATTTTCTTCTAGTTATTATTTCTGGAAGTGGAAGCTCCTTCTTGTCAAATAACACTATTAACCTTGAAATTGTTTTTCTTTTCCAGGAAACGACTGTGAAATTGAAAACTTTTTCAGAATATTTAACCTCCTACATATGTTTTCTTAGAAAGATTCTTCCTTATCAGTTAAAAAGGTACTTACCTCGAGACTGGTGAACTTGGGGAGTTCTGGTGTTTCACCTGACCTGCTCTGGAATTAATAAAATAGTAATATGTGTCTCCTGTGATCTGGCTGACCTTTCTGCACCACAGTGGATTTGGGCTTGTGAGAAAGGAAAATCATGACTTGAGCAGCATAAACTTATATTTAAGAAAATTGCCGTCAATTTTCTTAAATTGACAGCTGTGCTGTCAGCTAGGATTTTTTCAGTAGTCTGTACTGTGGTTACTACTATAACCACATAAGACTATGAACTGGTATTTTCAGTGATTGTGGATGATACATTTATTGAAAGAAACATTTTAGCTTTGGGTTTTATTATCCCTTTGCTATAAATATCTAGATGGAGGCTATAATAGTTAACTTCTCAATTCAACTCTATAATCCTTAGGTTTCTTTGAAAGGGTTTATTCTTGTTTTCATTATTGGTGATTTATTTAAGTTATAAACTAAAAATGTTTATCTACTCAAGCCAGTGTAGAATATCTCATTTAGTAATCTTAAAGATACCATGTTAAATATTTTTGGAAAGACAGAGAAAATAATATATGTTTTGGTATCTAGTACCACTCTGACAGGAATATACCATAAATGTGGATGGCTTGAAGAAACAGGAGTTTATCTCTTATAATTTGGAGGCTTTAAGTCCCAGTTCAAAGTACCAGGCTCTAGGGGCTGGGTGAATGCCCCTCAACCTTGGGCTTCAGCTCTGCTTCCTGCTCCCAGCCCACTGAAGCTGGAGGCTTTTCTTCACTCAGCTGCTGGCTGACAAGTAAAAAGGCATAGTCCAATGTTACCAAACCACACACCAGGCCATTAATTCAAGTCCATTACAAGTCCCAAGGTTGGCAGAGCATGGTAGATTGCTGAATAACAACACAGCTACATGCAGGGTTCAAGTGTGTCATAAGCTAGAGACTATTCCCGAGGCTGCTTATATACAGGAAGCAGACCACATCCCTAAGGCAGCTACTCAGCTGCTTGTGGTAGATTCCACCATAGAGCTGATTACCAGTCGCATCATGGGGAATAACTACCACCAGCTGCCCAGCCACTCAACCAAGCCCAGCCAAGTTGACACATGAACTTAACCACATATGTAAATAACCTGAAATGTGATAATACTGCTTATAAGTTACTGGTCCTTTTGGTTTAAAACTATCAAGACTCCTAATTCTTCTAAATCTTTTCATACTAAGATGTAAATTTAAAAATAATTATCAAAGAATATTAAAATTGGGACAAAAGAGAAATAAGAACATATATTTATTATAGTATATTGCAAAATAAGTGCAGAAAATACTCAGATGAGTAACTTAACAGTTACTGAAAATAATCAAGTAGTTATAGTTCCTGAGTCTTTAGTTTTATGAATAAAACTAATGTAATAGATTTTAGCTTTTTATAACATAAAGTTCCATTTTTTTTTTAAATTAGTAAGTTGTCAGTAGCTATCATCTATCGTATTCTCTCATTTCAACCTGACAAAGTATTTCAGTAACTGAATTCTATGATCATCAGGAAATTATGACTTAAAGTAATAATTGTGAATTATAATTTATTTAGATACTTACATGTTATGGTTCAGTATAAAGTTTTTTTCTGAAAATTGGCCCTGGAAGTTTAAGTCTTGTTGAAAAGAATATACCTTATTGATGTAGCTTCTGTTTAAAAAGAATCTGTTAAAGAGCCGTTATAAAAGTGGTACTGACTAGTAGAAACATTTATATATTTTTATTTTTCTTTATCTTTTCACTGTTAGCTATTTAGAAACACCGGGTAAGTCCTTTCTTGATTTGGGATTTCTGTTCTTAGAATGCCCTGTCCCATATGCTTTCAGCCTTACTTTATGAGACATTCATGTTTTTAGGCAGTTTTTTGGGCATTGGTCTAAATACCACTTAATCAGCAAGATGGCCTGTTCTTTAGTAGTAAATGGGCTTGGTATTGAATTAAGCTGTCTGCTATAAATAAAGTACAGAAAGAGAAGAGGCATGGAAAAGGGAATGGAAATGATTATGATTCCTGTGCTAACTTTTCTAGCTTTGTGTAAAATGTGTTTTACTTGATTATCTGTGTTTTTAAAAAAATAGAGTCCACATGTTTTTTACCTTATAATTAAGTTTTCCAAAGTAACTATTTAAAATTTAAAAAGGTAAAATGTATTTTATGAATGTCAAGCATTTATTTTAAATTTGAGGCTACAGAACTTTTTCTAATCTTGTTTGGCTTTTGAAAATACATACACATTAAAAAGGGTTTCTTAATGATTCTCTCTGCTAGTGTTGGCAGCAACCCTATTTTGATTAATTCTCTTTAGAAATTCAGTCTATGAAATGTTTTTCGCCTGTAAAATTTTAATGAAAACTTTGTGCTGCTCTCAGGATGACTTTATCTTTTCTTTGATGTAATTCTTTGTTACTCCATTGTGTTTGCAGCAAACAGTTGTCTATATCATGGTATACATGATATAAGTTTGAACCTTGTAAACAGATTAGATTCCTTTTTCTGCACTCTTTCTTTGTATATACTTGGTTGGAAATTTAGATGTTTTACTGTAGTTAATTGAAAATCATTCAGCATGCTCACTTTTGAAAAATCTGCCCATTCCTAGTTTAGAAGAAGAATGTGAGTCTTCTCTTTGTACATCTGCATTGAGAGCCAGGAACCTAGAGCTGTCTCAGGATATGAAAAAGATGACAGCAGTGTTTGAGAAGCTCCAGACTTACGTTGCTCTTCTTGCCTTGCCTAGTGAGTATATTTTACCTCTTACAGTTCAACTTGGAAGACACAGAGTACAAGAAGCTGGACAAGGAACATTATTTAGCTTGGTAAAATGGGAAGAGCCTCAGATCTCAAGGTGGAAAAACTCAAAATTCAAATCCTCCAGCCCCTTACACATTTATTGTCTTTTTTTCTTAGCACTTTAGTTTCCCCATTTGTAAAATGGAGGTAAATATTGTGACAATTAAGTTAAATTAAGAATATGAAATAACTGGCATAGAAGACATACACTAAATATGAATTCCCTTTCCCTCCTTCCTCATTTTAAATAGAGAAAGGAGAATCATAAGAATTCACTCAGCTCTCCAGCAAGCAGCATAGAGAAGCTTTAGCAGAAAAAGTACATATATATTTTTCCTTTGGACTAATTTGAAGAATACTATTTTCAAATAATTGAATGGACCTCAGTTTAAATAATGCTTTTAAGAATGCCATGGTTTTCCTGGTACTGTGATTATATTTGTAATAGCTTTATTGTGGTATAATTCACAAAGCAGATACTTTATCTATTTTAGAATATTTTCATCACTTCAAAAAGAAATCCCATATCCTTCAGTTATTACTCCAATCCCTGAATTTCCCTTAGCCCCTGGCAGCCACTGATATACTTTCTGTGTTTATAGATTTGCCTATTCTAGACTTTTCATATAAACTAAATCATACAAAATGTGGTATTTTGTGACTGGCTTCTTTCACTTAGCATAATGTTGTAAAGGTTCATATTGTAACATGCATCAGAACTTTATTCCTTCTTTTGGCTGAATAATACATGGCTGTATAATACAGCATTACTACACCACATTTTTGTTTCTATCCATTCATTGGTTGATGGGCATTCAGGTTGTTTCTACCTTTTGACTGTTATGAAGGATACTGTTATGAACATTCAAGGTATTTGTGTGGACATATGTTTTCATTTGTCTGGAATATATACCTGGGGGTGGAATTACATGTCATAAGGGAAATTCTTTGTTTACCCATTTGAGTAACTACCAGACTGTTTTCCACAGTGGCAGCATCATTCTATATTCCCAGCAGTGTACGTGGGTTGCAGTTTCTCCACATCCTCACCAACACTTCTTATTATCTGACTTTTTGAATCTAGTTGTCTTAGTGGAAATGAAGTGGTATCTTATTGTAGTTTTGATTCACATTTTTTGTTGGCTGTTGTTGTTAAGCATCTTTTCATGTGCTTATTGGCCATTTGTATTTCTTCTTTGGAGAAATGTCTATCTAGATCCTTTGCCTATTTTTTTAATTTAACTTTATTTATTTTGATTGGGTCCTTTCTCTCTTGAGTTGTAACATTTTATATATGCTAGATATAAATCCCATCGGATATATGATTTGCAATTTTTTTTTCCCCATTCTGTGGATTGTCTTTTCACTTTCTTGACAGTGTCACTTGAAACACAAAAATTTTTAGTTTTCTACTTTATTTTTAAACTGTGATGTGGGTGAAAGTTTACAGAGCAAATTGGTTTTCCATCCAACAATCCATATATATTCTGTTTTGTGACAGTCACTGCAGTCCCCATAATGCAACAGCATTCTCCCCACTTCTTCCTGCACCCACTCCTTCCCTTCATCTTTCTTTCCCAAACCCATCTACCTTTCTAGCTGTATCCATAGGCAAATGCTCCACTTTTGATCTCATATGGTTGACTGTTCTAAAGAATGCATACCCTCCTGGTATGCCTTACTAGCCTATCGTTTGGCTGAAAGTTGAGCCATGGGGGTTGAGTTCAGATCCTGGCTTGAAGGGCCATAATCTCAGGGGTTCCACCCATCTTCATCTGACCAGTAAACCTTATCTTTTTTATCCTCTTGAGTTTTGTTCTACATTTTTCTCCCACTCTATCTGATATCTCCTGTTTTGTGATCCCTTTCAGAGCACTCAGCAATAGCAGCCAGGCATCATTTAGTAGTAGTTCCTCTGATTAGTTCCTTTGAACTAATTGTTTCCTTGTATCTTTTTCTTCACTCTTTTTTGCTCAGGATGGGGAGAAAACAATAGTTGCACCTTAGCCGCTCACAAATCTTTTAAGACCCCAGTTGCTACTCACCAAACTAGGAAGTAGAACATTTTCTTTGTGGACTGTTATGTCAGTTGACCTTAGTGTTCCCTGAGACTGTGTGCCTGAGCCCCTATTTCCAGTGACTCATTCATTCCCTCAAGGTATTTGGATATAGCTAAAAAGTTTTCATAGCTTTGTTCCCTGTATTCTCTACTATATTTATGGATATATTTGCAGCACATACAAATACATATGTGTAAATATTTTCTGTCAAATATATATATTCATGGGTATAGTACCATTTGCCTTACCACTTCCGTTCAGCTTGAGTGTCTCTTTGTATCCATTCACAGATTATTATTGTTACTGCAGGACTGTACATGTAATAGTAATCATCTTTGTTGCCTTTAACTCTTGTGCTTCTCCTAGTATCTTCCACTACCTTGATCATTTTTATGCTGACCTCTCCTTATTGTATATTGCCGTTCCCTTCACCCAGGTTAATAGGTATCTACCCTCTAGTTAGTGATTTGCCCTCTGTTCTCCTCCCACTCCTAATAATCTTCAAGAATACATTCTTTTTGTGTGTGAACCTTTTCTTAACTTGTTAAAGTAGTGGTCTCATGCAATATCTGTCCTTTTGTGATTGACTAACTTCACTCAGCATAATGTCTGCTACATCCATATTACGAAGTATTTCACAGATTCATTGTTATTCTTTAATATTGCATAATACTCCATTGTGTGTATGTACCACAGCTTATCCATTCATGTGTTGAGGGGCACATAAGTTGTTTCCATCTTTTTGCTATTGTGAATAATGCTTTGATAAACGTGGGTATGCATGTGTCTGTGTCTTGGCTCTTATTTCTCTAGGATATATAACTAATAGTGGGACTGAGGGATCATATGGTATTTCTATTTCCAACTTCTTGAAGAACCACCATGCCATTTTCCACAGTGAATGTACCATTTTACAGTCCCACCAGCAGTATATGAGGGTTCCAGTCTTTCCACATCCTCACCAGCATTTGTCATTTTCTGTTTTTTTGAACTTTGTTATTAATGCTGGGGTGAGATGACAACTCATTGTTGTTCTGATTTGAATCTCTCTAATGGCTAATGGGGAGGTCTGGTGGTATAGTGTCTAAGGCATTTGACTGCTAACCAGAAGGCCAGCGGTTCAAACCCATCAGCCACTCCTAGGAAGGAAGACTTGGCAATCTACTTCTGTAGACATACCACCTCGGAAACCCAACGAGAGGTCACTGTGAGTCGAAACTGACTCGACAGCAGTGAGTTAAAGGTAAATGGCTAATGATCATGAGCATTTCTTCATGTTTGTTAGCTGCCTGAATGTCTTCTTTGGTGAGGTGTCTGTTTTTGCCATCTGACCATTTTTTTTTATTGTATTGTTCATTTTAATGTTGTTGAAGTATTGACATTATCTATAAATTTTAGAAATTAGTTTCCTGTCTGATATATCATTGCCAATTTTTTCCCCCAACCTACAGATTCTCTTTTCACTCTTTTGATGTAGTTTTCTGATATGCAAAAATGTTTAATTTTTATGAAGTTCCAGGTGTCTAGTTTGTCTTCTGCTGTTTGTGCATTTTTAGTTATGTTTGATAGTATATTTACATCAAATATCAGGGCCCCTAAGTTTGCCTTTATTTTTTCTTTTAAGATTTCTGTGGTTTTCCTAATAGAGAGGTTCAGCAAAGTGGGAGGATACAAGGTCACCATACAAAAATCAGTTGGATTTCTCTACACCAACAAAGAGTCCTCTGATAAAGAAATAAGGGAAATAATACCATTTACAATAGCTACTAAAAAGATAAAATATCTAGGAATAAACATTACCAGAGATACAAAAGACCTGTACAAAGAAAACTATAAAACACTACTACAAGGGATAACAAGGGCACTACATAAATGGAAGAACCTACCTCGTTCATGGATAGGTAGACTGAATATTGTGAAAATGTCAATACTCCCTAAAGCATCTACATATTTAATGCAATCTTGATCCAGATACCAACAAAATTTTTTAAGGACTTGGAAAAACCAATTACTAACTTCATATGGAAAGGAAAGAGACCTCGGATAAGCAGAGCACTTCTGAAGAAGAAGAACAAAGTGGGAGGTCTCACACTCTCAGATTTTAAGAACTACTACTATACAGCCACAGTAGTGAAAACAACATGATATTGGTACAATGGTAGACAGATAGACCAATGGAACAGAATCGAAAGTCCAGATACAGACCCATTCATCTATGGACAACTGATCTTTGACAAAGGTCCAAAACCCATTAAAAAATGGTGCTGGCAAAACTGGATACCCACTTGCAGAAAAATGAAACAAGACCCATACCTCACCCCATACAGAAAAGAAATTCAAGCTGAATCAAAGACTTAAGTATAAAGCCCAAAACTATAAAATTCATCAAAGATAAAATAGGGGCAAATCTGGGGGCCCTAATTTATGGCATAAATAGACTATCAGGCATAACCCAGAATGCACAAGAAGTAGAAGAGAAGCTAGATGACTGGAACCTTTTAAAAATTAAATTCTTAGGCACATCAAAAGACTTCGTCAAAAGGGTAAAAAGAGAACCTACAGAGGGGAGAAAATATTTGCCTGTGACATAGCTAATAAAGGACTTATCTCTAAAATCTACAGAACACTTCCACACCAAAAAGACAAATAACCCAGTTCACAAATGGGCAAAAGACTTGAACAGACACTTCACTAAAGATGATATACTGGCAGCCAACAAAACACATGAGAAATTGCTTGTGATCATTAGTCATTAGAGAGATCCAAAGCAAAACGACGATGAGATAGCATCTCACTCACAGAAAATAACAAATGCTGCTGAGGTTGCAGGAGCTCTGGTAGCATAGTGGCTAAAGCACTTGACTGCTAACCAGAAGGCTGGCGGTT